CACACACACACACACAAATGCACGCACAAACAAACACACACACACATACACACACACACAGTTTTATACACCTTAGAGGCAGAGATGAGCATTCGAGCACATCGGCAATGCCAGACATGTCTGCTTGACCTCTGTCCTCTGTCCTAACGACGGGTGAGAGCGGAAAGGCCAGGTGTCTGTGCGAGGATTCATTATGTTTAAAGGGGGTATTTAAGAGGGGGCCTGCATGCATTACAATTTGATCTACGTGCTTCTTCTGCAATGACAGCGTTTAGAGCTTCACCGTCATCTTTTTCAGCTCCTCCGGTCATGAGGAAGGAGATAATTTAATTAAATGTAAAATGCTCAAATAAGGGAAAGGCCAGTCTAGCTGCTCCCCACCTGTTCTCTCAGCGCTAAGATATCAAATACAGAGCCTGGGAGATGGTTCCAAAACCCGGTAATTCCGTTCTGATTAAGATATTGGCATGGCCTTTTGGGAGCTTTCTACTGTGGGTGTTCTCTAATCTGTTCAAATCATGACTCTCACCCACGCACACACACAAAATTGTGCATCGCCTCTGAGGGAGATCCTTGTACTATCCACTCCAGTGACTGGAGGACATTACAGCTCAGGGTAGATATACATATGGCCTCCCATCGTTATGCCACGTAATGTGCAATACTATAGCTTGGCAAAAAATCCATTATCTCATCCCCCTCATCACATTTTGCATATACAGTAGCATTTCCTCCTGTATTTCAAATGTAATAGTAATGTTACTGAAGATGAGTCACAATTATCTACATCTTGTAATGTTACATAATCGTTTAATGTTCCACCACATCCAGAACACCAAGAGATGGGACATTTAACGTATCACGTAGAGTCAAGGTGGAGAATGAGGACCAGGAGACCTCAGCTGATACAAGTTCCGTCTGTGTATCTTTCACAGTTTGAGTGAGATCAATTGTTATTCAAATACGTATCTGTACTCTGGGTTGGAATCTTTCAAAAGATAAGTTAGATGTAGAGTATGCTTAGAAGGTAGCTTTTCATGGACAAACTAAAATTCAACCACCTGGCTTGGAGGTTGTACTATTCCCAGTGTACTGTATAAGGCCTGTTTTCATCTTACATGGATCAATTGGGTATAAGTGGACCGCCCGGAGGTTGAGGAAATCACACCACTCTTGTGTCCATCACCTTCTTCGTTACCTCTCATAGCCACACGGATGGTAGGCCAGAGGGGTTCCTATCCTAGCAAAGCGATCCTGTCCCCACACTTTTATTTCCTCTTCCCTAGACAAATATCAAGGATCCTAGGCTTTTTGCAGGGAGAGTGGCCTACCCCTCTGCCGCCAGCGCTGGGTAGAGGAAATGTGCGGCTGCTACAATGTGTATTTTCCAGCAGCACCGGCGAAAGAGGGACACACGGCGCGATGCCGATGCGGGGCCATGCCGTGATAGTGTCACGATCGTTGAGGAACGAGACGGACCAAGGCGCAGCGTGATATGCATTCATGTTTATTTATATTGAATAAACACCACGACAAAACAACAAATGAAACGAAACGTGAAGTCCAAGGTAGACAAATAACGTACCTCACACGGAACAAGATCCCACAACTAACTAGTGCCAAAAGGCTGCCTAAGTATGGTCCCCAATCAGAGACAACGAGCGACAGCTGCCTCTGATTGGGAACCACACTGGCCAACATAGAAATAGACATACTAGAACATCAACCTAGAAATATACAACATAGAACATACACACCCTGATTCAACATATACGAGTCCCTTGAGTCAGGGCGTGACAGATAGCCATAGAAGGATTTTAATCATCGCCTCTCCCCAGGAATGACACGGTTGTGGCGCGGGGGTAACAGAGATGTGAAGCCTTTCTTTGCTTAGTAAGATCATTCACTTGGTTTACTGCCGGCTGCACACACTTAACATATTTTCTTATGGGCTTCATTTCAAGTATTTTGGGAAGACATTGTTTTTGTTGTTGTTTTATTTATATTTTTTGTTAGCCATTAGCCAACTTTTTCAAACAGCCAACTTCTTCTTCTCCAGAATGCTTTAAGACTGTTTTGTTCTTTCAAGTTAGAACTATTGTTTTTTTGTCCCTGTAGTGGCAGTGCTGGATAGAGTTGAGAGAACATTTTGTACCTCGCCTGGTTTGAGGGACCTCTGTTGGATTGATGGCTTGAAGCTAGCTCTCTCATGCATGTCAGCAAACAGGGTTCACAGGTGTCACAACAGCTGACACTGGAGCGATGTTGATGCTCTTTAATTGGCTACAAGGTTACACAGTGGGAGAAACTAGCAGCAAACCTGATGAATCGATGAATGGATAGATGGAGGAAAGGGGGATACAGCTAGGATACAGGAGCAAATGGATGGATCCGATCCACACATACACACATACAGTAGATCCATAGACAGATACTTTGATGAACATGAAGGCATCAGGCGTTAAAAATAAACCAGCTTCTCGAATGACATGTTCTGACTCCTCGTCCCTTAAACAGGGAACCAAAGCATTGAAGAAGAGCATTTCTCCCAGTAGGAAAACTTCACCCACTATTCATTAGTTTGTTCTGTATGGCAATTGACGCTTTATTGACCAATCATTATGGCGTAGCGAGAGTATGCTTGTGGGTAGTCAGCGTCAATGTTCCCTCTAATTTCTTTCGGCACTGAGCAAATTTCAGGTCTGCTGAGCGCAAACTTGAACGTTGTGAAAATTCTGTGCAACTTCCAGCGTGCGTTTACTGTGAACACTTAGGCTGTAGCCGCTTTAAATTACAGTTTTAATAGTGACCATGTAGGCTGCTGTGGCTTTTTGATTATAATGTAGGCCACTCTTGCCTACCAGAGTGGCCTACCATCAAAAACAATGGAGAAAATGCATCACATAACATTTTAACATGGAAATAGCTGTTCTATCTTTCAGCCTACAGTAGCAGCCAATGTGTGGTGTTCAATGTAGGCCTACATTCTATAAGACTCCTTCATACAAGGAGGCGACTGAAAATGTTTTTGTGTTGTTTGATTCAAGAAACCACTCTACAAAATAAAATGCATTATTATTCCCATACCATTATTACAGAGAATCAGACAAATGATGCTACCTCATGCTGTCAACACAGTGAAGTTCAAAGTAAATGGCACAGATCCATATATGGCAATGGTCTATTTGCATATAGGCCTACTGCAGCTGTGACTGTTTATGCAGCACCGGTCTGTGTAGAGTACGGGCTGAGTAGTGCATGTCAATGCAATAGAATCCAACTCCGATGCGTTCTGCCTACAATAAAATCTCTTGCATAGTTTGTTTTGTTTCGGTATGTTGCATTAAAAGTGGCTAATATTGCATTGATTCGATCACAATTGCCACAGTAAAGGGAAATGTTGATAGTGTTAACCTTTTCTGAGTCAAGATCACTTTCTGAGTCAAAATGCAAGCCGAGATCTACCGCTCAGATTTTTTTTTTTACACAACTTAATAAACATAAGCCTATGCAACATTAACCAATTAAAAACAGTACTGTAGCAATGTGGTTTGTGCAATAAGCTTCTAAAGCATTTTTTTTCAAAGACAATGGCAATAATTTCCTATTCTTTACATTAGAGACAAGTGGACCTCTATGCATGTCTTCTAACCAATGCATACATACTTAGCCTACTTAACCTCATTGATTGCTGTTGTATTTTTTTTTTACTTCAAAAGAGAGATTAGAAAGTTTAGTTTCCAAATAAGTAAAATACCAATTTATTAGCATTATTTAACCAAATCAATGTCCGGACCATACATGTCAAAATCCACTACAATAGCTTGCTGTAGAGTTCTTGAGTAGTTATAATAAAATTTGGTCCAGAACACACAGCAACAGTTTTTTCAATATTGTCATCCTCTGGTCCTTTATTTTATGAATGTCTCTTAAGGTCAAGTCCCGACCTGAGATATGCTTGTGTTAATTTGAGTTTTCTCGCTAATCTCCCATTGATATCAATGTTGGATTAAGTGGGAGATTGATTCAGCCCATAACCAATCCGTTTGATTATTCAATATTCACCAAAGTAATTAAAAACTCATGTTTTGGGAATGAAAACTGAAGAGGGGTTGAAAAGGGTACCCAGTTTTTCTTCTTTTATGTGAGAGTGTATCACACTTACATGACAAATGCTATGTATTTTCAATTAAAGTATTACAATAAACCAACCTTAACTCAGGCTGACTTCAGCCCTGTGATTAATCTTTGATCGGTTCATTCTGTAGCAAGCTCGAAGAAAGAGAGTTAGAGCAAGCAAACGTACATGATCCAATTTTTCAGGAAGCGTGTTTCTCGGGTTCCTGAGCTACTTAATGAGTAATCTTCCATGTTCCGTCGGAATCCACAATAAGTGCCTCTTAATAAATGAAACTGAGTTGCGTGCTGTAAGTCATTAACTATGAATGCAACAGTAATTGCCTTAGAAGGATTAGGACTTTTTTTCCATGAAAGATTTGTGGTAATTTTGTGGGATTATTCCGATTTTCATCTTTACAGTCAGGAGATAAAATGCTGATTTCAATTTCATTAGTTGGTGTATTCGTTCAAAAGAAAAGCAACTGCACAGGGCCACGGGCCTTTGCTGCAGACTACATTTTACTCAGCACCTTGCAGAAATACTGTATAAAGTTGACCACAGTAGTGTTTTCACTCTAGTGTCAGGATTGTTTGACACTTTGAGTCCATGTACTTTCTGTATGATTAATATATTATGAGAGAGTAGAACAGACAGGTAATACATTCCTTGACAACACAGGAACAGGTGAGCAAACTATGATTTCAGCCCTCAGCTCTCTGTACAAAAATGTCCCATCATCCCCTCTCTCTATCCTCTCTTGTCACCCCTCTCTCTATCCGCTCCTGTCCTCCCCCTCTCTCTCTCCACTCTTATCATCCCTTTCTCTTCTTTCCTGTCATTCCTCTCTCTATCTCTGAATCTCCCTCTTTCTCCTCTCCAGGCGTCATCCGGACGGCGCTGCCCAACATGGACCGAGAGGTGAAAGACCAGTACATTTTGGTCATCCAGGCCAAAGACATGGTGGGCCAGATGGGTGGCCTCTCAGGCACCACCTCTGTCACGATCACTCTTACCGACGTCAACGACAACCCGCCACGCTTCTCTCGTAGTAAGACTGAGTCCTTTATGCTCTGTGCGTCACTGACACTGACAACATGCAATCTACTGTGTCTCTCTCCCTCTCAGACAAAGCCCTGAACCCCTCCATTCACTGTCATCTCAGTCTCACTATAGTGGAGGTTTGACATGAATCTCTAAAATCACTCTCATTCACAATGACAGTTTAGGGGAGAAAGTTTTGAGTGAAAATGTAGGCTATACTTGATATTGCAGATTCATTTAACCACAGTACCCCTTTCATGTGTATGTGTAATTTTGCTCAACATTGTGTATCTCTCCATCTGTTCATCAGGCTGTTCACAGCACATGTATGACTTTTATGGTCAAAGGCTTCAAATGAAGGTTGCCCTAGGAGGTATAAACCTTTTTCCTTCTCCCCTCACTCCACATCAGAGCAGGGAATGAGGGGAGAACGTGGATACCAGGATCAGGCTAACATTGTTTTGTTGTCATCAGCCTATTTCACGGCCCGCTAATTAGTTCCAGGCCAGGCGTTGGGATTCAAAGGCGTGAGGTGCTTCTCATGATAATCTGTGGCCTCCGCAATTGCTTTACCGCTGATAGTCCTACGACCGGCCGTTTTAACCCACCACTGTTGTGCTAGGAAGAAAGATGCTTTGGGACCAGGCATGGGTCAGAATTAATAGAGTATTACACAGCACCACAGCTTATAGAGTCTAGAAACACTAGCCCTTGGATGATAGGAAGGAAGAGGAGGCTGGAGGGAGGCACAAGGACAGAGGGGAGAGGCGGTTGCCAGGGGGCAAAGAGGAGCGTACACAGTATGAGGGGAGGGGAGGAAATCATTTTTATTTTTTATTTTATGGAGCCGCTATTCCATGGCGAATTAAAAAGCCATTGTGTAGCAAACAATGTCAGGAGCGCAATGTCGGGAACCACTGGGGTGAGGAACACAGAAAGGTCTGGTAATAAGCTCTGCCATAGTGATTGGGAAGATTATGATTATGAAGTTGATTCCCTCCTTTTATTCTTATGCTTTAAGTCAGGGAAGTTCAGACAAATACTTTGGGAACACAAAGGGAGGGTTTGCATGTAATAGAATCTTCCAGTGGACATTTCATCCCACCAAAACATATTACGCAGGGATCGGGACTCTTCCATTCACTTTGGTCAAGAGATATTATGTTTCATGTAGCGTGGAGTGGTCAGAATGTGTAATACATTGTCATGTGAATACAAACAACTCCATTGTTTTAAAAGTTGTAAGGTTCAAGAAAAAAATATTTGCCCATTCGATCATAAATTTATTAAAATGTAAAACTACTCATTAAATATAAATTGTCACTATTTCCTCTTTAAAAATGAAGAAAAAAAACGAATCCATGAATTTGCTGTTTGACCAGTCATTGTGAGAGAGGGAAATCACAAGCAGCTGGGGGGTACTATAAATCTGAGCTGCTAAGGAGTAAGGAAACCACCTCATCTCTAACCTCTACTCTCTCCACCAGAGAACTATCAGTACACGGTGCTGGAGTCCTTGCCTGTGGCATCCGTGGTGGCCAGGGTCAAGGCTGCGGATGCAGACATAGGCCCTAACGCAGAGATGGAGTATAGGATCATGGAGGATGGACCTGGGGTGTTCAACATCACTACAGACGAGGACACGCAAGATGGCGTCATCATCCTTCAAAAGGTACACATGCAGAGATTTTGTATCCGTCCAAAATGGATGAGACAAATCTTTTTCTATGGAGCTCATACATTGATGGACACTATTGTTTTTACGCATGCAACACTTCCGACTTTGTCCGTCAAACTTTTGGCCGTCAAAAACAAATAGTGACGAATGCATATTTTTCATCCGTTTCCATCCATCTCTGTCTGGCCATGGCCTTACACTGTCCAAAGCTGATGATGACTCACTCTGAGAATATGATGGGATGCTATGGTGAAGTAGAGTTGTGTAATATTAATGCTTTGATGTCTTGCTTCAATTGCATTATAGGCATGCTTTTTTTCAGCCTATAGCACTCATAAACTTTACTTACTTTTTACTTAGTGGTCAAAATATAGAACGTTATTGCTATGTCAATAGTTTATTTACTTGTAGGCTATTTTAGTGTTTTTTTTGGGTTTAAAAGGGTATCCCCAGGCCACTCAAGAATTTGAGACAGTCTCTAGACGCCATGATACTTTGTAGCTATGAGAGCTATTGTTGGCCCCAAGCCAGTTTTGTCACAGGGTCCAATCTGATCTTTTGTTTGTTTTCGCCATCAGCAGTCATAGACGAGTACCACAGAGTGGAAAGTCATACCGACAATAAACACAGACAATAAATGTATCACATCAATGTCCTATGTTATAGGGCTACAACTGTGAGTCCAATAAGCCAAACATATGACAACATATCTTCTAAACACTCACATTTTGAAATGTCTTTCACCGTGATGTGTTGTGTGCCTTTTCTCGCAATCAATAGTTTGCTTCACACTACATAGTAAGTCAATATAAAAATGTCTGGATGAAAGATGTATTTGTGAGAGTCTGATTATGTGCAAGGTTGCATAGGGTCATTGGACTCTAGCACCTGCATTTCTTCAGTATACTGGTGTACTACGAGGCCATGTTGGCATGAGCGATGCACATATAAATACAGTATCTTTATGGCTTTGCCCTCACCATTTACAGAAAATGTGGCCAGTGTTTATAAATCAGGACATGCTTTACCTTGATTGGAAGGTCACTCTGTCGATTTCTGGGATCCGGCTGACCTATACTCTCAAGCTCTGTTTTGTAAAGAAATATGAAATAGCTTTTTATTTTCTTCCTTTTAATCTTTATTTGTCTGTCTTTATTTGTCTGTCTTTATTTGTCTTTATTGGTCTTACTTGTTCAGTCGTTAGACTTTGAGACCAAGAACAGCTTTAATGTGCGAATCGAAGCCACCAATCGGAACATTGACCCTGCGTTCGTGCACCTGGGTTCGTTCAGCGACACAACGTCGGTCAAGGTGGCGGTGGAGGACGTGAACGAACCGCCTGTGTTCTCCACTCAGCTCAGCAGGATGGTGGTCTCTGAGGACGCCAGAGTGGGCACCTCCATTGGGAGGGTCTCTGCGCACGATCCTGACTCCTCCAACAGTGCCATCAGGTAGAGCCCAGCTCTCCAGTTATTACACACCATTACAGCCAATCTCTCTGTTGTCCCAGCCATTTTCTGATGTGGCACCTGTTTCTTAAAACAACTTCACCCAGCTTGGCCCTATTCAACAGAGTGGTGAATTCCAAGCCATTTCACCCGTTTCTTTCAACATGTTGCTACACCGTCAGGTTGACAGGAGGTCCAAACACCTTTAGAGTAGGACTGTAAATACCTTCTAACATCTCAGTAGCGACACATTTAAGCACCACCTACACAACACACTTAAACCACTAACACCATGAGTTCTAAACTCCCTCTGTGACTGTGTGACATGCACTGAAGCCAGATGGTGTTGTGCTTTTCGAGGGAACGCAACATTTGCAAAAGTGAAATGTCATCTTCAACAAGCGAAGGGCAATCCCCCAGAAGGGTCAACAGTCTGTACCAGCTCCATGGCCTTTTTTTTGTTCTATTTTATTTTTTATGGCAACCACAGAAACGCAATCTGCCCCATGTCACTCATGAGACTCCCTCCCATTATGCATTAATTGAAAATAAAAAGTGTTGTGTGGTGGTATTCATGCTCGGGCGGTTAGGATTGTTAGTAATGTTAAACAGAAAATCTAATTACTCAGCCATTGTGGGTGTGGCGGCTCTCAGCGTCTTTAATAATATGGCATAATATGGCCCTACTTCTGGTGAAATTAGAATTATTGTGGAACTAATGCAACCAATTACATTGAGTCAAATTACATTGAATAATTCCCTTTGGATATAGGCTTATTGAAGTTGTCATTTTGTCCAGAAATATGAGCTGCTGTACAGGACTTCATAGTGTTTGTTCTGTGTTCAGAGTTAACCCATCGCTGTCCAGCTTCTAACTTCTATCTTAAAAAACTTTGATTGAGAGCAGTTCTCGTCAAAATCTAAAAGTTGAAGACGGACTGAAAAGCACTCAAAAAGTTATTATTCCTCCAAAAGTGTTTCAGAGATAAATTATTACATGTAAAATCAATAAGAACTTTCTACAAAAGGAAAAGACATAGCTATGCCTGTCTGTCTGTCTGTCTGTCTGTCTGTCTGTCTGTCTGTCTGTCTGTCTGTCTGTCTGTCTGTCTGTCTGTCTGTCTGTCTGTCTGTCTGTCTGTCTGTCTGTCTGTCTGACTTACTGGCTGTGGATCGGTCTGTCTCCAGGTACTCCATAGACAGAAACACAGACCTGGAGCGTTTCTTCAATGTGGATGCTCTGAGTGGGGTCATCAGTACGGCCAAGTCCCTGGACAGAGAGGTCAACTCTGTCCACAACCTCACCATCCTCGCCATGGAGATCCGTAAGAGCACACATACACACACGTACGTGCGCACACGCACGTATGCACACACACACTCAAACACACCCACACACAGGTTTCAACAACGACTCTCCACATCAGGTCTCAAAGTCAGACTAGTCAGTGTTTTATAAAGGCCCTGCATAAAGTATAGTAGTCCCTTCTGTCTTGTCATACTCACCTCATTGCCACTGCGTTGTGCCTCCTGCATTAACGTGACGAGGTGTGTGGGTTGCAGCGGGGCTGTCACTGAATGTTAATTCTGACGTATGGAGGTCACTGCGACCTCCGGGTCTCTGTGAGTCGTGGCGTGTGTGAGGGGCGAGCTGCTGACTAAGGGCAGGTGCAGGCAATGGTTCACCCGCTGGTGAACTATGCTAATGTGAGGAGAGGTGCTGTGATGCCTTTGACTCATCCCTCCACGGCTTCAAGGACAAAGTGGCTCACGCATTTCCCCTGGCCCACTCTGCCCACGCAGACACAATGGGCAGGAATCATCTCACAAGCTCCATTAAATGACATACTAGTTACTCTACTAAGTACCTATAATCAGTATGAGTTTAAAACCACTTAATGAAGATACAGTGACAATTTGATGTACATTTTATCAGTTTTGCACTCAATGCACAAATAGTCACAAACTCAAACATCGTAATCTTCATCGCTCAAGTAGATGCCTTGTGGTTCAACCACACATATAGGCCTAAGACGAATGCTCAAATGATTCCTCGTCCTCTTGTCTCAATGGAGTAACACATAGGGAGTTAACATCATTAATAATAACTGAACAATTTCACAACAGCCCTACACTGAGGAGACGTTGGCCTCTGACACACAGTCAGACTTCTATTCTCTTTACAGTGGAAAGCAGCAGCTGTAGAATCAGAAGTCCAGGCAGTCTCTCTCAGAGCCCAGGATGCCTTATTACGCTTTTTATAGTAAATGGGCTTTTTGTAACGAAAGAGGGCAGAGAAGCACTTCTTCAGGCATTTGAGCCATGGACGGACAGTGCTCACATTTCATCCGCGCCCAGACTTTGCTCTGAACACGCCAATGACAACAAGTCTGTGCCCCGGGGTGCCACGTGTCCTTTTTATTACCGTTAAATCAGCCGCCCCCGAATGTCAGCCAACACGAAATCTCTCCTGTCGGCGTGGCTGCTGACGCCAGGCTAAATCATTGTCCATCCAGGCTTTCAGAAGCCAGCCTTTTATTCAGTGCTGCATTGGTGTCAGAGCAGGGATTGAGCCTGTGGTACAGGATGGCCTGTGCTACTACACAGTCACTTAGGCTGTGTCTGGGGCTAGGTTGTAACAACCTCATGATGGGTATAGAGAAAATATAATGTAGTAACCTAAACCTATCAATGTTACATTGAGCATCCAATATGCTGTAATAGAAATAAGGCCATGCTCATTAAAAAAAATATCATCCTCCCTCATCTTAAACGGCACCGACCGCCACTGCTCTATATAGTGCACTATAAAGGGTATAGGATGCCATGTCGTACGCATCCCTTTACCACCTAAGCTCCGCTCCAATCGTAATTAGCTGCCTGATCATGTTGGCTGATCCCCACCAGAGCAACTAAGGCTGTCAGCTGATAGTGAATGCCTTGCATATGTCGTCATGCCGCATTTTGTTCATTTTGCTCGACCTTTGTGATTAATTAAAAAGACATGAGAAAGATCGATAGTAGGGTAAGTGGATGAGGGTAAACACAAAGTTAAGTCAGAGTAAAGAATTGACGGGAACCAGCTATGATTATAAAACCTTGTTTTCTCTCTCTCTCCTGTCTGTCTTCTTCTTCTCTCTCTCTCTCTCTCTCTCTCTCTCTCTCTCTCTCTCTCTCTCTCTCTCTCTCTCTCTCTCTATCCCTCATTCTCTCTCGTCCTCTTTCTCTTTCAGAGGATTCAACACAGATTGGAAAAGGTTTTGTGGCCATCACAGTTCTGGACATCAATGACAACGCTCCAGTGTTTGCCATCGAGTATGAGACCCTCCTATGCGAGAATGCAGCTCCTGGACAGGTGAGATACTGGAGATAAATGATCTGATGGGGAAGGAAATTATTGGTACTGCATTCACCAACATTGTTGATTCAGTTCACATTCAGATTTACCCACTACTTATTTGCACTTAAGCATCCCATTAGATGAGATAACTTTTAACATTTAAGATATTGCCTCACCCACACACTGTTTGATTCCCAATGGCAACCTGAGAAACAAATATAAATAAAATCTGCATCAGCCTCAGACTGTGTGCATCATCCCTTTTCAAAGCTTGAGGTCAATCCAGGGAGACACATTTGTCAGATCCACACTTTTAGATCAAATTGCAGGTATTGTTCGTGTTTGTATCCTTCATTAGAGATGTTACAGTCATTTCCGCTGCTGCTGCCAGCTGAATAATGAAATTGTATGAATTTGCAGTGGCTTGGCTATACAATGATATCACACACTAACATGATATTTCATGCCGGGGCAGAGTGGGTGTCTGCCCGGGTCTGATTTCCCATTCGGCGTGTTTGTTTGTGTGTGTGTGTGTGTGTGTGTGTGTGTGTGTGTGTGTGTGTGTGTGTGTGTGTGTGTGTTGTGTGTGTGTGTGTGTGTGTGTGTGTGTGTGTGTATGTGCGTGCGTGTATAATTATAGGATCAGTGTGGCAGGCACTAGAGCAAAAAATGAATCATAACATCATGTAAACGAAACGGGAAGGCTGGAATTTAGTTTGGCCACAATATTGCTAAATGACTTGTGCTTCGGTAATGGCGATTCGTCTACACCTGGCATTTGGAAAATACCATCAGATGGGGAGGGGGAGGAGAGCATGTAAAACTGAATAAGTACAGTTAATCAAAATGATGCATTGATTTGGGAATTGCTATTAGGCCCTTTTAAATATGTTATTTGCATTTACCTTTTTGTGTTGTTTGTCATCGTGTTCACAGGGGGGTGTACAAGAATAGCAAAATATGATTTGATCTGGAAAATGAAAACAGTTTTATGTAGCCTACACATTCGTCCTTTGTGCAGTCGGTATGACCACAGTATGGTATAAATATGTTCCGCAATGGGAGCCAGTAAAACTATTTGGTTTGGTGAAGACTTGCCTTTAACTCGGTAGGATCGCTAAGGGCTATTTTTGATATTGGTCGTTTGGTAGACCCTTTGGCTCCAAACTGAAGGAATAACTTGGAGTAAACGAGATCCTTAGACACTTCTGTCTTCTGTACCAATTTCTTACACTGCAAGATTTCTCTTCCTCGAAGTCGCAGGTCCTCAAAGGCTTACCTGTTGTGGATTATAACTGCCTTGTGGAGTTCATGCTCTATTTTCTTTTCTATTTTCCTCTAACCTGAATGGTGCCATTCAATCAGCTGAATCGAAAACCTTGCATTATAATACTTGTTTTATCTGAGTACTAGTACTAGTACTTGGGGGGGTTGTATCATTTGATTTACACAACATGCCTACCACTTTGAAGATGCAAAATATTTTTTCTTGTGAAACAAACAAGAAATAAGACAAAAAAACAGAAAACTTGAGCGTGCATAACTATTCACTACTTTGTAGAGCCACCTTTTGCAGCAATTACAGCTGCAAGTCTCTTGGGGTATGGCTCTATAAGCTTGGCATATCTAGCCACTGGGATTTTTGCCCATTCTTCAAGGCAAAACCGCTCCAGCTCCTTCAAGTTGGATGGGTTCCGCTGGTGTACAGCAATCTTTAAGTCATACCACAAATTCTCAATTGGGTTGAGGTCTGGGCTTTGACTAGGCCACTCCAAGACATTTAAATGTTTCTCCTTAAACCACTCAAGTGTTGCTTTAGTAGTATGCTTAGGGTCATTGTCCTGCTGGAAGGTGAACCTCCGTCCCAGTCTCAAATCTCTGGAAGACTGAAACAGGTTTCCCTCAAGAATTTCCCTGTATTTAGCGCCATCCATCATTCCTTCAATTCTGACCAGTTTCTCAGTCCCTGCGAATGAAAAATATCCCCACAGCATGATGTTGCCACCACCATGCTTCACTGTGGTGATGGTGTTCTCGGGGTGATGAGAGGTGTTGGGTTTGCGCCACACAGAGCGTTTTCCTTGATGGCCGAAAAGCTCAAGTTTAGTCTCATCTGACCAGAGTACCTTCTTCCATATGTTTGGGGAGTCTCCCACATGCCTTTTGGCGAACACCAAACGTGTTTGCTTATTTTTTTCTTTAAGCAATGGCTTTTTTCTGGCCACTCCTCCGTAAAGCCCAGCTCTGTGGAGTGTACGGCTTAAAGTGGTCCTATGGACAGATACTCCAATCTCTGCTGTGGAGCTTTGCAGCTCCTTTAGGGTTATCTTTGGTCTCTTTGTTGCCTCTCTGATTAATGCCCTCCTTGCCTGGTCCGTGAGTTTTAGTGGGCGGCCCTCTCTTGCCAGGTTTGTTGTGGTGCCATATTCTTTCCATTTTTGAATAATGGATTTAATGGTGCTCCGTGGGATGTTCAAAGTTTCTGATCTTTCTGATCAGGTCCCTGACCTGTTTGGAGAGCTCCTTGGTCTTCATGGTGCCGCTTGCTTGGTGGTGCCCCTTGCTTAGTGGTGTTGCAGACTCTGGGGCCTTTCAGAACTGGTGTATATATACTGAGATCATGTGACACTTAGATTGCACACATGTGGACTTTATTTAACTAATTATGTGACTTCTGAAGGTAATTGGTTGCACCAGATCTTATTTAGGGGCTTCATAGCAAAGGGGGTGAATACATGTGCACGCACCACATCTCTGTTATATATTTTTTTGAATTATTTGAAACAAGTTATTTTTTTCATTTCACTTCACCAATTTGGACTATTTTGTGTATGTCCATTACACATGAACTCTCCATTCAGTGGTAATCCATGTTTCCGTCAGTGCCAGGAAGCCGAGGGACTGGAGGGTGGCATAGGCTGGGATGAAGTCAGCCTTGTTGGCGGCAGAACGGCAGTTCCAGAGGCTGCCTGAGACCTGGAACTCCAGGTGTGTGGTGCGTGCAGGGACCACCAGGTTAGAGAGGCAGCAGCCACGCGGTGTGAGGCGTTTGTGTAGCCTGTGCGGAGAGGAGAGAACAGGGATAGGCAGAGGCATAGTTGACAGGCTGCAGCAGATGGCTACAATAATGCAGAGGAGATCGGGATGAAATGAACTAAACATCAGGGAAAGGAGAGAGCAGGCCTCCCTCACCAAAAAAAAAATATATATATAACTCTCCCAACTTCCACCTCAGAAACTATAATTGTTTCACTGAACCACCCGAGTAAAACTCTCCCAACTTCCACTTTAGAAATTAGAATTGTTGTAAACTACAGCAGACTGTTATCAGTAGCTGTAATTAAGTACAGCAGCTACCAACCACCTAACGTTAATGCCTCGGATGAGGTTAGAAAAACAGCTGAATGGTAGCAGCTAGCTGGCTCAATCACAGGTACTCTTAAGCATGAAATAACATTGGAAACAATTAACCATAGTTGCAAAAAGTTACCAGTAGCTACCCGCTAGCTAGCTAGCTTTGTTGGTCCAAGTAGTGGGTAGGCTAGCCTCGTGCTTCGCCGGAGTCCGCCGAATACAGTCCTTACCTACAATAATTACCTACAATAACCTTCAATAACTACCTGAGTAAGCTACCTATAATACCAAACTACAATACCTACCTACAATCTAAATACATGGTTTAAGCTTAACTCAACACCATATAAGAAGCCAAGCTTACCTTTCATAACGCAGCAACGATTAAACGTTGGGTAGCTAGCACAAAGATATTGTATTTAGCTACCACAGCCTGCTGGTAGTGTTGGCTGGCTAGCAATGGCTACTGTGTTGACTTTGTTTGAAAAACGGCGTCGCTGCGAACGAATGTAGCTGGCTAAAAGGATATTGTTTTTAGTTGCAACCGTTGCTAATAGCAACTCGCCAGCTAATCGTATGTATGGGTTTGGCCGGTGTAGGCCGTCATTGTAAATAAGAATTTGTTCTTAACTGACTTGCCTAGTTAAATAAAGGTAAAATAAAAAATATAAATAAATGTACTGTATACGATGGTGTGTATAGACATTATGGACAGTATATGAATAGAAAAGGTGTGTAAAGCTGTAGTTATATAGGATCAGCCTTGACTCGAATACAGTATACAGTATGCTGTACATATGAAGTGGGTAAAACAGTATGTAAACATTATGGCAGAAGACATTTAAAATAAAACCAATTTTATTTGAACCCAGGTTTGGTCAAAGGAATGGCCTGCCTTATATGCCCTCCCTAACTCCTGTAGAATGGCCAGCCCAATGTTTCATGGTTGACCTGTTGAAACACATGTACCACACGTGTTTTCCAGATAGAACTTGAAGTTCAGAAGCTCCATCTTGTTTTTGAGTGGTTACTGCCTGTGGTATTATGCAAATGTACACCTAAAAAAAAGAAAAGAAAAGAACGGGAAAAGGTTGACATTTGAACACTATTTGAATAACAAGGAGCAGTCAAGCTGTCTGTTTGCTATCAGGATGGGTGGACATCTCAGCTGTACAAGGCAAGGCAGAGCCTTCCTACATTTTAATTAACATGTTTCTCTCTATACGTCCACCCTTGGAGATGGAACAGCAGAGAGCACACAAAAAAACTCCTATAGACTCTATCTGCACATGAGCGGCCGCCTCCTTCCCAACAAGCTTAGTGTTTAGTTAAAAACCCACAGCCGCCCACTGGAAGACGTCTCCCCCATTGGCCTGAAAGACAGAATAACAACGTTTGGCAGTAGTTCAAGCACCGTGGCTCTTTAGCGCAGATTAGCCGGAAGCGTGGTGGTTGCAATAACCTGCCATTGTTCAGGCTTAATTAGGGAAAGTCTCATGGCACTAGCTCTCTCCAGAGACGCCACTTGTTACGGATCATCGGTGCGTCTGTCTTCTGCCATAAAATTTATTGATATTATGATGGAGCGGAGGGGGAAAGCGGGGAGGTCACACGCTTACAATCATCTCCATCAGTGTAGCCATTACATACATGAGTGG